TATGAGTTGGCGATTATTTGTTGATTGTGCATTGATAGTGCGAAAATGCATCAGTAACTCGATGTTATAAAACGTGTTGTTATGTATGATTCAATGAATAGTTAGTACAAGCATATAAGTTGAAGTTTATCTGTTCCTTTTATCCTATGAGGATTAAAAGCGATATCTTAGGCCCCTCGATGATTTTGTTTTGACTTATGTGTCGGGCCCGGTCAGAACTCTATTGATGTGTTCAATTAAGTTCTATGTCAAACAAATCGGAAAATCGGGAAACAAACTGCAAGACAATAATTATGACTATGTTCCATGTATTTGCCCGCATGATATCTTGTAGAACAGAGGATTATATGATAACTTATCTAATGGAAACATAAGAGTATGTCAGCGGCTTTTTGAGAGCTACGATTGCTAATCGGATATTAAGTTACATTGGCAATTACAGTTATTAGACTTATCTAAGTGGGAGACTGTTGGAAAAGGTGTCTAAGCCCATAACTATAATTGGTATGTACTTGACCCGATAGTAGCATGGTCCATTTGGGTTGCATTCATCAAAGCAATATGTTAGGAGAGATATTTGGGTAAGAAGTTAATTATGATTTATTAACATATTATAAGTATAATATATTAATCGAGGAATCATATTATTTAATTAGTATTGATCAAAAATTAATTTAGTGATCAAAAGAGACTAATTAGAATGATACATATGAATTGGGCTAAAGATCCATGATTTGATTTGTGATGGGCTTATGGTTAATCCATTAAGTGGTTATCCAAATCAAATGGATGGGTCATGGACTAATGTGTATGGATTAGGGTTACACATGACCCTTGATATTCTACACACACACACACACACACATATATATATATATATATATATATATATATATATATAAGCTTGAAATCGGTGACACCTTACACACTAAGAAAGAGAATCCGATTTATAGTCTCCATAATCTCTCCATATTCATTCTAAGTTTCTCTTGGTGTTTTATGATTCCATTTGAGGCATCACACTTGGGGTGCTAAGATTTCTTGAGGCCAAGTTATTCAAGCTACTACACAAGGTAATATTCTAACTAGTTGTTTATGATTCAAATATCACCTTGCATGCTAGATTAAGTTTCATGCTTTGGAAAATGTTTATTACATGTATAGATAGATAAAACTTATATCCAAAGCATTAGAGTTGTATGTGCACCATATGAATGTTAGAGTACATAAAACCCAACAAAACTCTGGTGGCTTCGTGTTGCCGAACTCTCGAAACAACAACGAGTCACCCCCCTGTGGCCTCGCAGCAGCAACAACAGCCTCCGTGACAGCAGTGTATCACTCATCAAATGTCTCAATCAGCATGGTCTTAATAGACCCGAACATCTCTGGTATGACCTCCCTGATAGCTGCGGCCACCTCCTCAACAATGACCCTGCGAATATCCTCGTCACTAGTACCACTGCCCCTGGGTTGTTGCGGGTAATCACCATAGTGTCTCTGAAACACAAACATGAAAATCATCAGAGTCTAGCTCAAGCACTTACGCCATTACCCACCCCTACATACTCCTTAGTATCCTAAGGTTCTTACTTGGGTCACATACAGATCTGGTGCTTTTAGTAGTACGGGCCCAATACTACCTTCCACACCAACATGTAGTCGCCCCAAGTCCTCCTCCTATGATCCTAATTCACAAGTACTATATCCCTCACGGGTATCAAACTACTCTCTCAGTAGATTTCTCAATGCATATCTAGGTATCTCTCCTAGATTACTCCTCGACTCAAAACTCTCTCTAAAAGATTCCTGCTAGGTACTCCTACTCAACACATACACAAAACAAATAGCAGATAATATCAATCAATATCATCCCCTAGGCTAAGGCATAATGAATCAGACAACTCTAGCTCTAAATTCCTGAAGTACCTAGCCTATCCTCTAGCATGCAACTCTAATATATCATAAGTATCTCATAATATAAACAAGTAATGGTATTTTGGGAAATCACCGTTCGGGCTCTGACTGATTGTACACACTGCTTCATCTCGTTTTCTCTTAAAAGCTCTTACTCGTTTTAGAAAAATCATTTCTTTTTAGAAAATTTTCTCAAATCCTCAGTCCGAGTCCAGACATACCCGAGAGTACATCCGAATCCCTCAAACAAAAGCTCTAATACCAACTTGTAACACTCTAAATTTTCAAACAAAATTTTCAATTTTTAAAACATCATAAAACACAATCTCATTTTCTCAAAAACCCAAATGTATAAGTTGTTCAAAACACAAGACAACAAAATGTTTTGACAATATCCCAGAATCCTCAAAACATAATCTCAAGCCCGGTGTGTACAATCAAGTCGGCGCCTTCCCGCGATCCTGAGAGGTACCTGAAACACATTTCACACAACACTGTAAGCATGAAGCGTAGTGAGTTCCCCAAAATACCACACATAAATAATTAGCCTCTCATTGCTACACCTCAATAAGGACCCTCCGGTCTCACAGCTCGGGTCGGACCCTCTAGTCCGCTATCTCAGTGAAGACCCTCCGGTCTCACAACTCAGTTTGGACCCTCCGGTCCTAGCTCAATAAGGCACAGAATAATATACAACATAAATCACAAAGACAAAATGCATGATATCAAATAACTCAGAATAAGCACATAAGACCCTCCGGTCAGTAACTTAAATAAGACCCTCCGGTCAATAACTCAAAAAAGACCCTCCGGTCACACAGTATTACCACTCAGGTAAGTATAGTGAAAAGACTCACCTCGTACGTAAGCAGGTAGGTCTCGTACTCAACGATCGATCTAGACTCCGCCTACATAACATAATCATATCTAATTAACACTTTATAACAACAACTCTAAAGATGTTAAGCTAACCCCTTTTCTAACTCTCGGAAAGGGTGAAAGACCATTTTACCCCTCCATGGTCTCCATAATCCATAACTTGACCAAACCCTATAAGTCAACGAAAGTCAATACTCGAGTCAACAATCTATGTTGACCCAACTCGTCAAGTGCATCTATGCGACTCGTCGAGTTCCTTCGTTTCTTCTGAAAAATTTGGAAAATCCAACTCAACTCGCCGAGTTGTCTCACCAACTCACCGAGTCCGCAAAGCGTCCAGACTATCGGGGAAAACCCTAACCAACCCGTTGAGTTGGCTCACCAACTCGTCAAGTCCATTCAGTCCATTCTCTCATTCAGACATTTTAAGCAGAACTAAGGCCCCATACTCTAGATCTAGCCTCCCAAGGCTGAAATAACACGTAAAGCCGCAAGCTTTACGTTCATGCATGACATCTAGGGCTAAGTTGCCAAACCAAAGCTGAATAAGGTTTTAATGCATGAAAGTTGGCCAAAGCTTGAATCTTTAGGCCTAAGGGACCTCATATTGTCCAGATCTGAAGTCTCGTCTTCAAGGCATGCTCAAACAACTAAAGGACTCATAGAGAAGATAAAAATGGCCATAAACTCCCTAGTGAAGAGATCTAACAAACAAATGGTCAAGGTGATAGCTTTTTACCTCCAAATGGCAGCTAACACTGAAATAATACTGGATCCAAGGGCTCCTTCTTGTTCCAAGCCTTTTGCTTCTCAAACTCTTTCCAATAATGCACTAAAACACACACTTTTAGCCTCTATCTCTCACATATGATAATAACTCGATTAGGATTTCTCTTAGAGTGTTAAGGTGGTGAGGGAGGAGGGGTAAAGGACTTAAGGTCCTTTAAATAGGGTGCAAACCCTGAAAATTAGGGTTTTCACACTCATCTCCTACTCGTCGAGTCGGGTTCCCCCAACTCGTCGAGTAGACTCTAAAAATCACGCGACCATCTCAATATTTACTCGACGAGTTGGGGCCTCCAACTCGTCGAGTTGCCCTGACAAAATGAATATAATTTAATTAAATATTATACCTGGGAGTCGGGATGTTACACACATGGCTGATGATCGGATATGTATTCTTTTTAGAGGTATAGTGAGTTTTCCTCTAATCGGGAGGTCCTTTTGGAGGTGGTGGAAGATTTTTTTAGGAAATGGGAGGAATAGAGGAAGAATATAAAGTTGGTTGTGTAGACATAATTTTCGAGAATTAAGAACACCACGGTCCTACGGTGGGCGCCAAATTGTTTTGGTCTAAAATCGACTAAGTGGATATCAATCAAGGTGTATGAGAGGCTGTGGTGTTGTGAATAATGTGAGTACCGAATTGATATAAAAATAACACGAGTGGTTTACAAGGAAAGCCATTGCTCCTTGCTAGGTTGTCCGACATAAAACCTTAGGAGGTGATAATGATCACCTCCCTTGTATGATCTTACTGATTTGAATGTAAATAACAAATATGAGCTTGACAATACGATTACAAGTGATAAAGTGAGTCTATATGAGTAAGGTGTCAGAGAATTGTCCTTGTTGTGTGTCATTTACAAGTGTATTTATAGTATAGGTTAAGTAACTACAAGTCCGAGATTTACGGGATCCTGTTGAACTGATATTTGCAATGTGCTTTGACTTGGTATTCCCGGTTTTTAAGCCTGGTTGGAGTGATTATTCGTTGTGAACAAGTCATATGTTGACCATTTCTGCACATGTGAGAAATAAACAAAAATATAGCCGTTAAACTTATTAGGAAATAATAATGGCAATGTTCAGGATCCTGATGTATGTTCGGGATCCTAAGACTCCTTTTAAGATCCGAGATCCTGGATAGGTTTAAAGATCCTTAGATATCTTTGAGATCCGAGATCCTGGATAAGTTTAACAACATATAAATTTTTTTTGTTGAATTGGTTTGGTGAATGGTTTTCGGTTTGACCGCTAATTCAACCAGTTTTCATAATTTTCATGTATTTTGTATTTTCCTACATACATATATAAAACCAACAATTTAACATTCATAAACATAATTTTTTTATCACAATGAACTATATTATAAACCATAGACATAACAATTTAAAGTATCGATTTGCAAGTTGAGAATATCGATGTTGGACAAGTTATCGATGTGCGTCGAAGTCGTGTCCGCTAGTGGTGTGTGTGTCATATTTCTTTGCGTTGTGTACACTCTGGATAACTTGATCGATCCAATTATTCAATGTAGTTTGGAGATGAGTTGTTTTTAACGGATTAAGTGAAATCCAATTAGGGAGAGGGGAGAGAGGTCCCAAGTTCGAATCCTTCTCCCCTCATTTTCTAGCATTTACATTATTTTTAGACGAATTACAAAAATGGTCTTTGTGGTTTACCAAATGTCACAAATTTAGTTCCTTTATATTTGAAAAGACGAAAATGTCCTTACGAATTCAGTCCCTAACGGCTGAATACTAACGAAATTAGTAAAAAGGACCATTCGTGCAAAATTTTGCAAACCACAAGGACCATTTGCATTAAGAAAAATAGAAGGACTGAATTTATGACTTTTGTCAAACTATAGGACCATTTTTGCAATTTTGTCTTTTTAATATCATATACTTCCCAAAACTCAATAGACAGATATGCATTTGTAGTTCCAGTCTTCTCTCTCCCTCTCTGTCTAGGGTTTCAGAAGCGCCGCTTTTGGGCCTTTGTTTGCTGATCGGAAGGTGTTCATAAGTTAATCATCAGGTAATTATCGTTATTGTGCCCTTTATTCCGTTTCATTAGTTTTCATTGATCAATTTATTAGGGTTTGATGTCCACAAAAGTTGGATTTCCGATCTGACTATACACTGGTCAAATAATCACTTTTAAGTTCAGAATTTCATTATTTGATCTGCGCATCTCTGTAATCGGTTTTTATTTCAGTCGTTAGTAGTTGGAAACTGTGCGGTAGCAATGATTTTGTTTTTATACGTGTAGATCACGTCATCTATTGAACCGTCGTAAGTTTTGGTCGTTTGGCTTGAGAAGAAAGTTTCAGGCTTTTTCCGACGGTTGACAGTCAATTTCATAGGATATAAAATTGTTATTTAATTGTGGTTGACCTATATGGTCTCGTTTTTCTTTTGTAAGGCTATAATTATGCTTTACGTCTCCCACTTTAATTTGAAGTTATTTGATGGCGTGACGAAGTTACATTGTATGATTAATTTGTATTCAGATTAAAGTAAATTGGGTTTGCTGATAAGTAACGCAGCCAGTTGGTTAATGAATGCTCTACTATCACTTCTGTTTCTTATTTAGGTTATAGAAAACCTATTGGTTTGGCTATTAGTGCTAGTTTTGGGGACAGTTTTTTTGAATTTTTTAGCAGAGGTGAGCTCGATTTAAGCAACAAAGTATTGGTTTGGCTTTTGTTTTTCTAATTTTTTAAAAGTTGCATACATTTCAAATTCAGTTGTTTGTAAATGTTGGAAATATGGACTTTATCTTGCTTTTGTAACGTGTTCTTGGTGTTTTTAGTTTCAAATAATCTTACCCTGTTTTATGGTGAAACAGTGTTTGCAAGAAAAATTTATGGCATTGGAAGTTACCCAAATTCTGTTGAATGCACAAGCTGTTGATGGATCTGTTCGGAAGCATGCTGAAGAGAGTTTAAAGCAATTTCAGGAGCAAAATCTACCTGGATTTCTGTTATCTCTCTCTGGAGAACTTGCTCATGATGAGAAGCCTGTTGATAGTCGTAAACTAGCTGGTTTGATTCTGAAGAATGCTTTAGATGCAAAAGAGCAACATAGAAAGTATGAACTCATCCAAAGATGGTTATCACTTGATGTGGGTGTTAAATCACAAATCAAGACATACCTATTACAGACACTCACCTCTCCTGTTCATGAGGCAAGATCAACCGCATCACAAGTTATAGCTAAAGTTGCTGGAATAGAGCTTCCACAAAAACAATGGCCTGAGCTCATTGGCTCCCTTCTATCAAACATTCACCAAGTCCCTGTTCATGTCAAGCAAGCCACTTTAGAAACTCTTGGGTATTTGTGTGAAGAAGTTTCTCCAGATGTTGTAGAACAAGATCATGTGAATAAAATCCTGACAGCTGTTGTTCAAGGCATGAATGCAAGTGAAGCTAGTAATGATGTCAGACTTGCTGCAACTAGAGCACTTTACAATGCTCTTGGTTTTGCTCAAGCAAATTTCACCAATGAAATGGAACGTGATTATATTATGAGAGTTGTTTGTGAAGCAACTTTATCTCCAGAAGTAAAGATTCGCCAAGCAGCTTTTGAGTGTTTGGTTTCCATCTCATCTAGCTACTATGAGAAACTAGCTCCTTACATTCAAGATATCTTCAACATCACTGCTAAAGCTGTTAAAGAAGACGAAGAGCCAGTGGCTTTACAAGCAATTGAATTCTGGAGTTCAATTTGTGATGAAGAGATTGATATTTTGGAAGAATATGGAGGCGACTTCACTACTGCTGACTCAGACATTCCTTGTTTTACTTCATAAAACAGGCTCTCCCTGCACTTGTTCCCATGTTGCTAGAGACTTTGTTGAAGCAAGAAGAAGATCAAGATCAAGATGAAGGTGCTTGGAATCTTGCAATGGCAGGAGGAACCTGTCTTGGTTTAGTTGCAAGAACAGTAGGGAATGATATTGTTCCACTTGTGATGCCTTTCATTGAAGAAAACATAACAAAACCAGATTGGAGACAAAGGGAAGGAGCTACTTATGCTTTTGGATCCATCTTGGAAGGTCCTTCACCCAATCAGTTGACTCCTTTAGTCAATGTTGCTCTAAATTTCATGCTCACAGCTTTGACCAAAGACCCAGCAACCATGTAAAAGACACCACAGCTTGGACACTCGGAAGAATATTTGAATTTCTTCATGGATCCACCATGGATACACCCATCATCACCCCTTCAAATTGCCAACAGATCATCACTGTTCTTCTCCAAAGCATGAAGGATGCTCCAAATGTAGCTGAAAAAGCTTGTGGGGCCCTGTACTTTCTGGCACAGGGTTTTGAAGACGTGGGTCCCTCGTCTCCATTGACTCCATTTTTCCAGGAAATTGTTCAGTCTCTTTTGACTGTGACTCACAGAGAAGATGCTAACGAGTCTAGATTGAGAACTGCTGCTTATGAAACATTAAATGAAGTTGTGAGATGCTCTACTGATGAAACGATTCCCATGGTGTTACAGTTAGTCCCTGTCATCATGATGGAGCTCCACCAGACTTTAGAAGAACAGAAGCTCTCCTCTGATGAAAGAGAGAAACAGAATGAGTTGCAGGGTCTTCTGTGTGGGTGTTTGCAGGTGATCATTCAAAAACTCGGAGCATCAGATGCAACAAGATACCCCTTCATGCAATACACAGATCAAATCATGAATCTTTTTCTTAGGGTTTTCGCATCCCGGAGTGCCACTGTTCATGAAGAAGCAATGCTTGCAATTGGAGCTCTAGCATACGCAACGGGTCCTGATTTTGCAAAATTCATGCCGGATTTTTATAAATATTTAGAAATGGGACTTCAGAATTTTGAAGAGTATCAGGTCTGTGCTGTGACTGTAGGTGTGGTGGGTGATATTTGTAGGGCTTTGGAGGAAAAGGTGTTGCCTTGGTGTGATGGGATTATGACTCAGCTTCTTAAAGATTTGTCAAGCAACCAATTGCATCGATCCGTGAAGCCTCCGATTTTTTCTTGTTTTGGTGATATTTCGCTTGCGATTGGAGAGAATTTTGAGAAGTATTTGATGTATGCCATGCCTATGCTCCAGAGTGCTGCTGAGTTGTCTTCACATACTTCAGGTGCTGATGATGAGATGATTGAGTACACAAACCTCTTGAGAAATGGGATTTTGGAGGCGTATTCAGGGATTTTTCAGGGGTTTAAAAACTCTCCCAAAACTCAGCTGCTGATTCCTTATGCGCCTCATATCCTTCAGTTTCTTGATCTGATGTACATGGAGAAAGACATGTAAGTTCTTGTTTCATTTGTATTTGAGTGTTTATTTTTGACATGTGATTTATTTGTATTTGAATAATGATATCAGGGATGAAGTTGTGATGAAAACAGCAATCGGTGTTCTTGGAGATTTAGCAGATACTCTTGGAAGCAATGCGGGTTCATTGATTCAACAATCTCTTTCAAGCAAAGATTTTCTGAATGAATGTTTGTCATCAGATGATCATATGATTAAGGAATCTGCTGAATGGGCCAAGCTCGCAATCTCTCGTGCAATTTCCGTTTAAGTCCCTCTGCCTGGCAGTACATAATATTATTTTTTGCTTTTCATGCATATGGTCGGGTCGGGTCGGGTCATATCACACCATTCATGTCAAGCTGACAAGGGCGAAATAGTAATATCAAGCTAAGGGCTGATTCTTTTTCAAATTCACATCGTGTATCTCGATTCAATCCTCAGAAAGAGTACATGAATGAATGAATTAGCCCGTGTCATGTGTCGTCTTGGTGGGGTCCACAGTGGTTTTGGTTGTCTGGGGGAGAGGGGGGGGGGGGGGGGTATATTACCTTTTACATTTGCATCACATCATACATTTTTTCTTTCCTTTTATTATTTCGTTATATTTTTTTTATCTTCTCATTTTGAGTCTGGGTCACATCACATGTGCATTATTTAAAGCCAGGTAGGGGGTTGGCCGCATTACATTTAGGAAGCTAGTTTTTTTTTTTTTTTTTTGTCAGTCGTCGGTAGGTGTTTTTGAATTTATTTGAAAATACAATGCATTCATGAAATCATGTTTGTTTTTTTTTTTTCTGGTCTAAAAACTCGAAGCATATAGTTTTCTTTGTCAAAAATCATGTGTAAATCCTGTTTTGGTTCCCGATTTGTAGAGAGAGAGAGAGAGAGAAAATGGCATTTTATACAGAGAATGTCACTGCTTGTGATGAAAGAGAGTTCGTGGGAATAGATTTCTTTCAAACTGTTGGTAAGGAGAGAGATTGATTGCTTTTTGTAATTTTGGTTCGGGTTTTATTTGGAATCAAATATTTGTACTGCTTTTTTGTTTGTTTTCATGTATAAACCTTTTCAAGTGTCGACCCTTTTGTTGGTTTTATTAGATTTTAGAAAAAAAAAGCCTAATGTTATGGTGTGAAAAGGTTGATGGCGACACATATAGTGAGTGCAATGTATCATGCTTCCTGAAAAAGTGTTGCACAAATAAAAACAACAAACGTGGCGTGTAGAAGAGTATACGAGTCACTTCACACTGTTTGTGGGATGAAAACGCCCAACTCCAACTCACCAAAAAACAACTTTTCGTACTTGTACTGTGAAAAAGCGTATAATATGATAAATGATAAAAAAGTAAAATGAAAAATTTCAAACTTTGTCACTTTTAATAGGTTGTAAAGGTTAATATTGTTATGTATATGAATTTGAAAACATATGTATTGAAATTTCATGGTTTATGGAAAAGTGTTTTGACTATTTAAAGATGAAAAATTTCTTTGAAAATTGGGTTGTTACAACAAGGGAACCTTGTTGTGCCATATGTTGAAGGGATGGGCCAATAAGGATGTTGTTGCGCCAAGGGCATTCTTTCTTGCGCCATGAGGGGTTCCTCTTGCGCCATGAGGATCCCTCTTGCGCCATGGAGTACTCCTGTTGATCCATGGAGTATGCTCTTGCGCCATGCATGACCTTGTTGTGCCATGTATGTTCCTGTTGCGCCAATGTGGTGTTGTTACTCCAATCTTGATGTTCTTGTGCCACACTTGAAGCCTGCTGCGCCATCCATACACTTGTTGCGCCATCATGGTGTAAGTTGGACAATCTTGTCCTTGATGAGTCAAATATGCTATGAAGTTGTAACATCCCGATGTTCAAGTATTTCTAAATTTATCCCTTTAAGTTATTATATTGCGTTTTGGTCCCTAAGTCCCAAGGAATTGTGCATTGGAGCCCTAGTGACATTCTTGTAATTTGGATAGGAGGAGTACGCTAAGAGTACATGTGTGTATGCTGAGCGTACTAGGGCGCGCCCTAATACGTTGGGCGTACACTCATGTACGTGGGGCGTCCTAAAGGAAGATGGAAACCCTAATTTTTAGGGTTTGGGTGGTATTTAAGCATCTTTATGGCCTAATTTCTCTTCACCTAACTAGCCTCTACTCTCTCTTCGTGATTTTCAACCCTAGAAGCACCTTGTGAGGACATTTCAAGCATTAAAGAGTGTGTTTGTGTGAGTTGAAGAGGAAGGAAGAAGATCAAGCTCAACTTGGAGAAAAAAGCACCTTAGATCTGAGATTTATCTTTCATTTGCAAGCCTTTCAAGGTATAAAGCTTGCACCTTTGTCTCTTAATCTTGTAGATCTAGTTATGGGGGGTTTTATGTCATCTTTTTGGTCCCAAAAGTATCATCTTGAGCATGACATGTTCTGGACGTTTTGAGTTGTCCTTTCAGACCTTAGGAAGGGTCCTTAGCCATAAAAATGAAGTCCCTTTGGTTAGTTTTGCTCCATGCATCTTGTAGGAGGTCTTAATGGATTAAGACCTTGTGTTAAGCTCTTATTAGGCATGTAAAGTCATAAAGTTGGAAACTTTATGACTCTAGGGCGTGTTTTAGTCGTGGATCTAAAATATGGGCTTGAGTGCTTAAGCCGTTAAGCACTTAATGAAGATTTGGGGTTGCGAGGTTACGCCCCGCGTAAGTGGGAGTACGCCCCACGTACTCGGTCAACCACCCCGATGGTGGTCAATGCGAGGCTTCGCATGCGCTAAGCGTACTCCGGGGTACGCCATGGCGTACTCGCATGGGTCAACCTTGTGAGTGACTCGGTTGAGTTGACTCGACCGGGTTGACTCATTTGGCTTAGTGGGGTTGACCAGTGGACTTTGACTTTGACCAAGTTTGACCTTGAGGGTATTTTGGGTATTTTTATGGAATTGGTCATTTAATGGAATTAGGTATCGGTTAGAGAGCTGAGACTCGGAGTCGGACCTTATCAGTTCTCTTTAGCTTGAGAGGTGAGTTTTCCTCACTGTACTTACGGGTCGAAGGCACCAAGGTCGGCCCTTTGGATTGTTATCATGGTTTATCGTATGATTGTATACTATAGTGATATGTTAGATCTGTATCCTGGTAGATAGGATGATGCTATGCTTAGTGATTTGTAAGATCTGTCTGTTTGTTTACTGGCTGGTTATTTATATGCTTATCTGTTATATATATATATATATATATATATATATATATATATATATATATATATATATATGTGTGTGTGTGTGTGTGTGTGTGTGTGTGTGTGTGTGTGTGTGTGTCGACACGATGTATGTGTGGTTGGGTTGAGGCAGATCTGCTTTGTGCTGAAGGCCAACAGACCCAGGGCGGCCCGGATAGACTGAAGGCCAATGAGGCGTACCAGTCAGGCCGAAGGCCTGAAGAATGGTCTAGATAGGCTGAAGGCCCGGTGTGGCGTACTAGTCATGCTGAAGGTTCTGTGAGCATACCAGGTAGACTGTAGGCCGGTGGGGCATTCAAGTCAGACTGAAGGCTCTGTATGCATGTTGTTTACTGTTATTATTATGATTATGTGATGTGTTGGTATTTTGGGGGAACTCACTAAGCTTTGGGCTTACAGTTTTGGGTCATGTTTTAGGTACCTCTGATGATCGCGGGAAGGTAAAGGCGTGATCGTGCGCCTCCTCGTGTTTTGTTTTATGATTTTGGGAAAAATCTTATATTAAACATGTTTTGAAAACTATTTTGTAAACAATGATGATTTGTGGAATGGCTTTAAAAGTTTAAAATTTTCATGAATTTTAGGGATGTTACAGAAGTCCTCTATGATGCTCAAGAATGTTTCAGAAGATGTTGCATGGCGGAATATGATTGGTTGCCTCCATTCATGGGCCTATGGGCCAATGGGCTTGACCCATTAGGATTTTAGGCTTGATCCCTTAAGTATAAATAGGGATGCATGCCAGGTCATTTTGTATCTTGAATTCTAGAGTGAGAGGCGAATCTCTGTGTAATTGTACTTGTAACCTCTGTTTGAGAGCTCTGAAATTAAAAAAACCCCCCTTGCTTGTGGGTTATAGGTCACCTTGACCAAACCACATAAATAATGTGTCTTGTGTGCTTATAGTTTTGCTAGTTATCCACTTTACTTCCTAACACATTTTTATCACTCAAACTACCCTAAAATGTCCAAAAGGACAACTCATTTGGTCTATGGTAGCTCATAGCCAAAAGAACCAAGAACATGGGCTAATAAGCATAAACTTCTAACATAAACAAGATCTAGATGCATGATCATCAAGTTTAGAACTTTATACCTCAAAATGAAGCTTGGAGGTGAGGTGTTTCTGGATCTATGTGGTCTTGATCTTCCAAGGTGGTTCTTCAATCCCCTCTTTGCTTCAAGGACACCAAAACACACACTATCAAGCTCAAAGTAACACACACAAGAGATTAGGGTTGCAATGGACGAAATGAGGGCTGGAGGCTGGTGATAGAATGAGTATTGGTGAGTTAATGATGCTTATATAGGGCCGAAACCCTAAAAATTAGGGTTTGAGGTTCTGGCATGTACGCCCAACGTACTAATCTGTACACCCAATGTACGTGAGCTCCGCCCATAATTTACAAAAATGCCACTATGGGCCATTTCACAGCACTTTTCCTACACAAGGGCTAAAATTCAAATAATCTTCATACTTAGGGTTAAAATTGAAAATACCTTATCATCGGGATGTTACAAAGTTCCAGTGGAACATTCTACAATATCGAAGGCTCAGTCTCTGTGACTTTAGAACCTCGACATCGCAGAAGGTCAATGCATGTAAAGATGAAATTCCACTACATCTTAGATAACAATAAGATTTTGAAATTGTGAAATGAGCGTCATTGGAGTAATGTCCAGTCGATCTGTTCATAAAGGAAGGACCATAGAGATGCATAGTATGCATGTTCATAACATGGCATGACTAATGTTATTTAATTCAAGTGGCTAGTTGATTACTCGAAACAATATACAATGAATAAATTCGTAATTATTATGAGGATTAAATAATAGAGATTTATTTATATTCAATGAGTATGATACCATAGTTAATTAATTTATTATTGTGTTTCACTTTGCATGTTTTACTTCTTGAATAATTTTATTATTCAAAGTTCCACAATCGCTCATACTTTTGGAAGTAAGTAGTGAATCAAGACTGTCATGAATCAATTTTAGATTGTCCATAGAGATTGGACATTACATGGGATTGCTACAATATTCATGAGTACTTAGAAATAGAGATTTTGAGTATTAGATAAACCCACGCTTACAGACTACTTCAAGGATTTTATCACGAGTAATTCTAATATGATAATATATTCTATTCTTCAAACGGAGATACATAGGTTGTAATTTACAAGTCGGTTGTACATTGGTATTGCGTAAATACATAAGTAAGACGATGTTATAAAACGTAGTATCATATATGATTTGATAAGTAAAGGTTACAGTTATATAGTCAAAGTTTATTCGTTTATTTTGCCTTAACGGGAAAAGCGATATCTTTGGGCCCCTCGATGATTTGTTGTCGACATCTGAAGTGCTTGGCCAAGCCCGGACTAAATTGATGTGTTCAACTAGCAGTATGAAAATCAGTCGTCATAAAATCGAGAAATTGAGAAAAAGAATCTTGGACAATGAAATTGATTCTAATCCATTTCTCATGTCCATACGATATCATAAATAACGAAGGAATAGATGATCACTTATGTTAGGGCCAACGTTTGATTTAAATCATAGTTCGACAATTGCTTCGGAAAGCACACTTTGATGTTTGGTTCAAGGTTATACTTGCAATTGTAGTTATAGGCTTATCCAAGTGCGAGACTGTTGAATAAAGGTGTCGAAGCTCATAACTAAATTGATATATACTTGTAATTAAAACCAAATTCCTTTTTGGGTTGCCCTTATAAGTAGTAGCTGAGTAGAATGACATTTGGAGAGAGAGAAGATAATTTGTTAGTTTATTATATGAATAATAAATTAATTGGAAAAATTGAAATAAATGATTTATTAATATTATATATGAAT